TGCAAAATTTTGTAAATATTTGGTTGAATATTTTTGCAAAACGTTGTTTCTGGCAAAAATCCGCAATAAATTTGTCATATTTTTTGCAAAAACAAAATTTTGCGAAAAGTAACAAAAAAATTATCGATAAAATTCTGCGTTAGTTGACCTTTTTGCAAAATTTTGTATGCAAGTCACTCTTTTCTGCGTTATTTTAAAGTTTAACGCAGAAATTAACTGAAAAATTTCTACATGGGATGTGTGCTGCGTTGCTCGTGTTACATACGATGTGCACAAAGATCACAGTGACCAGGTGAAGTCGATTGTAGAAGTGGCCAATCAAGAGAGATATGAAATAAGCCGACTGATCTTTGAAGTTCAAAGGCTAGCTGATCATTTGAAAGACGAGAGAAATAAAATAACTCAAGTACTGAAAAGTATAAATTGTACCGACTCTAATTTAGAAGTTTAAATATCACCGAGAAATGTTTAGATCTTGATACTAATGAAGAAAAAAGTAAGAAAGAAATACAAACGGAATTTGGCAGATTTAAAATTCTCGTTGAGAACAGAGAAAGAGGACTGTTGGAGAAACTACAAAAAATATCACAGGTACGAATAGACTTCAGCAGCTGGGTGTTTCCATAGGGTCCGTACCACGATATACACAACATTGTTCGCATAAGCTGGAACCCTTTTCAAATGAATGACGCATACGTGGGATTAGCGTAAATCGAGTTAAAAAAGTTTGAAAATATCGGCATCAGAAAGCGCCAAATCTTGACATTTGCGTTTTTTGCGTTTTGAGGACCCAGTAACACTAAACTTTTGCCTATATAAAACAGCAGCGAATCTTGAATTTTTTATGGAATATATAGTAAAAAGTTAGGGCTTTCTCGTGGTATCGCCAAAAACATTTCAAAATGTTTTGGAGATTTTGAGGAGGGTTTCCAAAAACCCGATTTGGTCTTTTTTTGCGATAGATAGGTTTTCAGCAAAGCAAAATGGAAAATAACTTTCAAATAGTGCATTCGGCTCGCCTTTGCATTATCTATCGAATGGTAAAACAAAAAGTTTCATAGCTTTTAAACTGAAATCGAAAAATTCGAGATACCGGTGGGGATTTTTGACTTTTTGCCTGTTTTACGCTCGTTTCTTTTTATAATCTCGAATTCCCGAGGTCGCTTTCATATATTTTTCGTACCTATTCGACATGGGCTTTCAGATCGCACAAGATACGATTTGCCCCAACTCAATGCCTTGTAGGTATAAACCCCATAAAATTTGATTTTTCCAGTTTTGATGACTTTTTCAGCTTTCTAAAAATGATATGATACTACTTTAGGATTACAATTCCAAGGTAAATTTGCATACTGAATTCGATGCTCATGTTGAAAGTACTCAGCTAGTCACTGTAAATTCTAAAAAGAGTTCTAGTTTTCCAGTTTTAATAAACTTCAATATTTATTTGATTACAAGCACAATAGTATAAAACTTTTTGCGAGCTTCCGACTCTTCAAAAGTGCAGTTATTGGTAAAATATCTACAAATAACGAGAGATTATTTAATGAAAATCTATTTTTGTGTGTATCTTTCGAATTTCCGGCAACTTATAACAACATCAAATAACTTGTTGATTGATCATTTTAACTACTAAATATTCTTACTAACTCTGGGTTTCTAAAGCTGGCTAATATTGTTGTGATAAAACATGAACGGATGTTACAGTTTACAATAAATTTTTTTTCTTGCGTAACCATACCAGGATAAATTTTTCCATAAGAATAATTGAACTTTTTAAATATGGGATGATATAACAAATCTCTATTTCATCCGCAGCTGTCCAGTTTTTTCGCTCTGTGCATTCATCGCAAATAGTGAACAAATTAATTTCGAAGACGATATATCTGTAAAGCGGCTTGTCCACATGACGCGACACTTCGCTGATCAAGTTTATAAAAAAAAAATTTTCGCTTTCGAAAATTTTGAACACATCACTAGATATAATTTTTAATTCTAAGAACCCGTTTAAAACGCTTTTTGATAAAAATTGGTTCATTTCAAAAATCGAATTTTCTATTTTTAGCCGAGATAGTTTTCGAAAAATAAATTTCTAAACATATGGTTTCGTAGAAAATTTAATTCTCTACAAAATGGCGTATTTGGTTTTGAGCTTCAACGCTTTAGAAAATTTGTACATATTTGTACATTTTCCGACTTAATTTACAGTTTTTGACCCTCCAACGCGAGGCAGCGACTTTATTCTTGCGTATGTCGGCTGACTGTAGCACGAATAATTATCTGTATAATATCAAAATCTTCTGATCATGTTAAGTCCCTCGAAAACACTCGACCAAAATAGTGCATAACGCCTTTACGTTTATGTTTTGATGTTTTCGCCTTAACTGAAGATGTTGGAAAAATTCCTTTTTTTATCATCGGATAGCCCGTTCGGTGCTCTACAATTTCTGTTCTAAAACTTTTCATTATGACCTTTACCTTTGTCGGAATTCATGTTTTTGTTGACAGCGCTCGAAAAAAAGGGTCTTTTTCCGTAAAGTCGTTACGGCCTACAAAAACCGTTCTCAATATTCGAGACTTCATGCAAACAATTTCGTTTTTATATCGTAAATGGGGGTCGACGAGCTGCATCGAATGGCGTTTAACGGAGCTTCTTAACTATTTTAGTTTCCGAGATAATTTCATTTTAGTGGGTCCAAAACGTAACACCGTTACGTTTGAACAAGCCGAAAGGCGTAATCGACAACGATTTCTTCTGGATAAACGCTCATTTGGTTCAGTATACAACTCTTATATTAATCAACAAAATCAAATTTTTTTTCGAAATGATTATCAATTGTCAAAGAATGTCAAAATTAGTCTTTCGATTATATCTCGATCACTTTATATCTGATTTCTCTAATCAACATGTCATTGAAAAGAGTGTTGACAGCTGAATAGAACGGAGGGTTTATCGATGAAAAATAGAATGTTTTAAAGTAGGAAATTCTGAATGATGAAACGTAATGAAGGACTTGGCTTCTGAAATGTCGCGTAACTCTGAGATTCTGAATTCCTTTTCGTTTTGAAGAACACGTGCGCTTTAAAGAACATTGTTATGCACAGATTAGGATGGTTTAAAAAGATGTCAGGTGAGTTGAAACAGTTTCACAAACATGGCACAACACTAGAAAATAGTCCAAATTGTTTTGACTGAAATCAAGTTATCAGGTGTCTACAACGTATTTCAACACAAAGGAAAAGTCATATTCAATTCACCATCTTAAATACTGGATGAACCAGTATTCAAACGTAAGGCAAGTTAGGGATGCTTGGGATCTGACGGACAATTATTCTCATAAGTTTTTCATAACACATCGAGATATGTTAGTCTAGAAAATATCGTGGCTTTGCGATAAGCTGTTCTTCAGATTCGCTGGAACGAGGATGTCCCCTTAATGAGAACCAAAATATGTCAAAAATTTCAACAGATAAATAATACCATAACATGTCGTTGACTAGTAGAACCAGCACTACCAGTTACACCAGCAATTGTTATACCAGTACCGTATGAATTACTTTTCTATAGAATATACCAATAATAATTTAAATATCGAGCAAAACAGAGAGAGAAAGAATGACTTACATGAAACATTTGTATTCGATGATTGGATGTATCGCTTACGTATAAATTTCCAAATGAATCAACTATTATTTGTGAAGGATTATAGAGCTGACTAGCATTTGAACCAGAAATACCTGGTGTGCCTACGAGAAATGTCCCATTTTGGTCACCTAAATGCCACTTTTGTATTGTATGACCCCCATAATTGATAATAAACATTGTATTTGACGATTCATTCAAAGATAAACCCCATGGAACATTAGTCATTCTTGCTGAATTCCCGATACCATTTCCACCAGCAATAACAATACCGAAGGAGCTATTTAATCCAGCCCATTTGGTAACACGATAGTTAATGGAGTCTGATACATACAGATTTGTGCCAGTTGAATCAATCAAAATATTCATCGGGTAACAAAGTAGATTTAGAGTCGAACCATACGTACAATTTTGTGCTAAAAACGGAGAAGAGAATTGTTAGAACAACAAAAGTCATCATAAAAATTTACCAGTAACAGTATTCAGAAACAATATGAAATTTTGTTCTAAACATAGTTTATTGAGCAACACTTGGTTTATACGAAATAGATAAGATTTGATTAAAGGGAAGATACTTTAATTTTACTTCATTAAAACAATTCAAAAATATTTAAAACAAAAATATATAAGACAATCAAACATTTCGATCTCTTTTAAATTGAGGTCTTCTTCAGTGAACTTAATAAAATATGTATTAAAACATATAAAAATAAAACTATAGCTAAAGTTGTTACATATAACATGTGTAGCTTTAAGATTGTAATGTGACTGTTTCTACCTATTTCTTTATTAGGCCTGCAGCAACAAATGCAAATGTTAAAACTTTGGTCAAAAAAGAGACATTTTACATTTAAAATGTTTCTTTTATCAGTCGCGCCAGAACAGAACTTTTCTGTTCTGGCAGCTGATAAAAGAAACATTTTATATGTGAAATGTCTCTTTTTTACCAAAGTTTTAGCATTTACATTTGTTGCTACCGGCCTATTGTCACTCGCCTATTTTTATTTTATTTTTATTTTTCCTGTTTTCCTTTTCCTTTTCCTTTTCCTTTATCATTAGAACTTTAGCGTACAGCGCTTTATCTTCTTCTTTTTAATGTCGCATACAGATTTCTGTGTAAGTACGCATCTTGTCGCATGTTAAATAAAGAAGATGCGTTATACGCTAAAACTCTATTTCGAGATATAGCTATTGATTTTATCTCTGTCTCATGGAATAGAATAAAGATGTACCTGTTCGTACGAAAATAGAAGAACCGTAAGCGAAATAAAACACATATTTAAAAATATATTTACAGACTATTTTATATCTCTCGACATTGAAAGACAGATTAAGTCAGGCAGTTTGGTATTATATAGAGACTTATACAAGGATAGGAATCGTTTAGTCATTCTTTATAATTTTTCTTCTTTTGTTCGCGTAAACTATACCTCCTATTCTGATATCTATACGTTGTGTTGTGACTACTATGTGCTACTATGACGTTTGATTATCTTATATATTTTTGTTTTAAATATTTTTAAATTGTTTTAATAAAATATGAAATTAAAGTATCGTCTAGGCATGCACCAATTCCAATTCGAGTCGGTTCCAATTCCGAGAATTGATGGAATTGACCGGAATTGGAATTGGAATTGACTACAATTGACTAGAATTGGAATTGGAATTGACAAGAATTGACTAGAATTGGAATTGGAATTGACAAGAATTGGAATTGACCTATGTTTTT